TTCCGGTTAGTACACACCAAAGGAAACCACTGGACTCGAGTTTCGCTCTCATTAGAGCTCATCAGCAGTGCATATCCAATGGCCGTGCCGGGATTCGAGCACCGGACATATGACATGCAAGGCAAGCGTGTAACCGCTACTCCACCAACGCACGTTGGACGCATCTGAATTATCCCGTCTGAACAGGCGAAAATGTTGCCACTTGAGTGATGTGAGTGGTGTGCCTGACTCATCGAACGACGACCCAGCAACTGTCCTGGTTGTGAGGATCGATTGACCTGCCAGTCAGGACTTCCCAGTCAAGTAGCGTACTATACGCTTGAAACCCACTGGGAAGATTTTTGGTTGCAATTTCGGGGTTTTGCGGGATGGATATTTTTGTTCATAGCCACACCACCCACCCGAATAATTACGCCAGAACAGGAACACGGCCGTTAAAACGAGATTATTGGTTAATCAGTCACTTTGACTATATTGTTTGGACTCAAAGCGTGCATTGAATTCAAACAGGAGCCTTAATTCTCACAGATTGTTGACGCGACTTACTACCAGATTTTTATCTGTTCTCAATCTATCTGTGATAAACAAAATCGTGTGTTCATTACACGCAACACAAGTAAAAGCTCGTTGCTTTTCCGGTAACTACACAGAGTTCAAACTTGTTAAGGAGTTGATCTATCCAAGTAATTTGCTTTTATTCACTTACCTGGTCTGCTTATGTAATAATTGTACGTTTCAATATCCATCCCCCCGAAAAGATTGCTGGAATCGCGCTGATAGTTGTTGGGGGCGTGATTATTGAGAGTCAAGACTTTGTAACGCAACAGCTTCGAACGGCATTCGACACAGCCTCACAAACAACCGGAGCGGACGAGGAATTTTTCTATAAAGTTGCGAAGTTGTTCCAGAAGTTAGCCGGTAAGTAGTAGAGCGATTTTAGCCTGCGTCATACGGGCGCACGGATTGGTCTTATTCGTGCAATAGTTCATTTTTGGATAACTGGAGATTAACGTAGAACCATACTGGGGTTTGAAAATATATCAGGGTCAAAATTTATCCTTTCTCTAATGAAAGCTAATAGAAGCTAATAGAAGAAATGAAGCTAATAGAGTGTAAAAACTCATCTGAAAAACGTTGAAGTTTTTTCCATGTTCTAACATACTGTGATACAATCAATGATATGATTTTAGTATGCTGTATTTGAGCATAGCTGGGCTGGCGTCCGTTACTTTTTCTCGTACAAGCGTCATACAAACAATCCAAAGATCTGATATGCGACAAAACACTCAACATTCTTTGTTGCATGCATTTGGTGAATTTGTAATTACTTGGGTCGATAATAACTTTGGCGGGCTTGTTTTTCAACTCAGTGGTAGAAAATGAGATCACAAACTTTTTTACCAGTAGGGCAAACGTGGAGTTTAAAGTTTTTCGTCAACAAGCTTGTGCATGGTGTGTACGTCGCGAAGGGAGAAAAACCAATGTCCAGTGAAAAAAGCCGTCCATGAAACTTCAGTTCCTGATTTTTTAGTTTTCTTGTGATAGATCCGTCAAGAATATATGCCTTCTGAATATCAGCACAACGTTGTACGTCTTTGATGGTTACGAATTAATAGAGATCAAAGATGAAATCCACTATCCAAACCAATGTTCTTATTTTTGTGAAATGAAAGTGGACGTGAATATGAATATAGGCGATGAAAAATCGGAAGGTTGCGGAGAACATTTCTCGGCCAGCTCGACTTACGTAATGCTTGTTGAAATTTGCAGACGATGTGGTCGGGGGAACAAGGCACGCATTTGCGCACTGGTGATGTCGCCTCGTATACTCACGAAATTTCCGCAAGTTGATTGCCCAACTCAATGGGCAGATCAACAGACACCTGATCAACAAAGTGTAAACCATGAATGTTAGTTAAACTCACATTTTGATAAATGTGCCCATCATAAACTATAACCCGATGGGGGTAAACCCGGATCGTGGTGTCAACAGCAGCCTATATGACACGGAGGAAAGAAAGTGGTCAGCTGATAATTTCTGGAGTCACACAAGTCTTGGATTGCTGCGTCTGAGATTGACATCCCAGAACGTCCAAGTGCCATCAGGTAATGCGTCCCAAAACTGTAACCAACAGCGTACCACAACCAAAACATACACTCGCCTTCTCGGCGTTGAGAGCCGTTGGGTGCCTTTAATTCACTTGTCTAGCTAAAAAACGACCTGTGACCAGGTGTCTTCTCGCCTCATTTTATTCGAGCTGTGGAAATAAACGATGGTCGATTTTCAGACTGCGCCACTGTCACAGGCGAAGTATTTTGGGATATAGGTGCTGCCTCAAGGGTATTTTCTTTAAGCACCCAAGACTTTCACCTACCAGCGCACACTTCGAAAATATCAAACTCCGTTACCAGTTGTGTTGCATGTTTTAATTAATAGGACCGCTCGGTATCGCCCTGCTTGTTATCGGAATCTTTTTGTTCGTCACTGCGATCATTTGCTTCGTTGGCGTATGCTGTCATGTTCGCGTAATGGTCATCATCGTGAGTTGAAAATGGATGGCAAACTGTGTGGTTTGTCTTAAACATTTTGTCATTAAATGCTAAATATGACTGATGTACTATGGAATTTAATGAAATTGAACGTTTTATCAGGGTGAAATTCCACCACCAGATGAGATCCAGTTTTCTTCACTCGAATTTATTACTCATATAACTGAAAATGTCTTTTTTCTAAAGTATCGACCTTGTTATACAAGTAAAGGAAATACGGCAATGAGCACGCTTTTTGTAATAATTTTGATGACTATTTCGGCTATTTTAATAGATATTTAATAGTTTTGGAATTAAACTTCACTGAACGACGGAGGAACACAGCACACTAGCATCGTCTACGAAATATCCTCAAGTTTGCGCGAGGTACTTGAAATTTGCAGGGCTTATAGATCTACAGCCTTACAGATAAGTTATGAAGCAGTGGCTTCCAGGTGGTTCTGCTGGAATTGAATTTCGGATATCGTTTTTGGTGGATATAGATCCTTAAAAGCTACTGGATAAAGATGTAACGCAACACTCTGGCTCAGCTGCTAGGATTTAGTCTGAAATCTCGTATTCTGCATAGTTGAACTGCTTTCCAACATGCCTCAATGTGTATACGTGTCACTCACGCTTCTGGGAAAAGAACAAAGTTTTCTAATTGAAGTCACTCAAATTCCGATGACTGAAAACGGTCAGTTATCCTTTGGGCGCGCAACTACCACCAGAAGGAAGCATGAGGGCTGAAATACTGCTAATTTGCCCGAGCCTGAACAGGGAAGTCGAAGGGCGGAGGTCGGGTCCGAACCACGAACCTTCGGGCATTAGAATTCACGCAATAACCACTGGACTATCTCGCCCCCTAAGCAGAACAAAACATATCGGCAAGCTGAATTACCCATATTTTTGCAAAGTCTGTTTAGGATGAAAGTAAATCAGGCGATTTCGTAGAACGGCGTACGCCAAAGTAGTAAATTTATATGTGGTTTTAATTGAAAGATATTTTATTGCCTGCATTAAGAAAAATGACATAGTAAGTGTTCCCTCAGCAAAGGATTTTCCAACGTAAAAACTCGCTTCTTCCACACTAAAAAACTAGGAAAATTTGACGCACCGCATTCAAAAATCAAGCAATAGTTTATCATTTTCGAAAAGGTTTGGTGACGATCGGTAGATTTATTGCTGGGTAATGTTTCGCTTTTGACATAAAAGCTTCGTCAGGCCAAGTGACTAGGTTCCGACGTTGGTCGAAGGAAGGAGAACCAATTAGCTCAGCCAAGCTAAATCTCTGTCGGGCGTGTGTTAGGGTAGTTGAACAAGTGTTGGGTCGGTGGGGAATCCTACATGTGTTTGGGTCCAGCCTAGGGTCTAGTTCTTCTGGTTCGGTTCATTTGATGGTTCCTCTTGAACTTCGTTTGAACCTTCTGTCAGTCTGTGTGGGTGAGATAGTGCTAAGAAAGTTGTGTAATAAGGATGCTGTGATCTTTGGTGGTCGGTTGAGGATTCTACCCTTACCCCCCCCCCCCCCCGGTTTTTTCCAATGATCCTAAGTAGATTGACAACTACACCATCGCGTGTCAACTCGGCTTATCTAAGGCCGCCTTCCATACGCTCGCTAGCTCCACGAGTGAGCTAGTGCTAAGAAAGTTGTGTAATAAGGATGCTGTGATCTTTGGTGGTCGGTTGAGGATTCTACCCTTACCCCCCCCCCCCCCCCGGTTTTTTCCAATGATCCTAAGTAGATTGACAACTACACCATCGCGTGTCAACTCGGCTTATCTAAGGCCGCCTTCCATACGCTCGCTAGCTCCACGACCTCGATTCTATTCACGCTTTGATGCTCAGTAATTTCCACCGGTTCAGCTATCAGCCACTGTGGTGTGAATCGCAGCCCCCGTTTTAAGACTTCCACATTCTCCAGATCTATTCTATGTCCCGTGTCTAAGGCATGTACCGCCATCGCAGAGTCTTTGACCATCGTTTGGTATTCTTCTGCATTCCTTGGTGGTTTGTTAATTCTTATTTTATGCTCACCAATTCTGGTGTGCAATTCCATGGCAGTTTGTCCTATATAAACCTTAGCGCAATTGTTGCAGTTAATTTCGTACACACAGTCCCTAGTCCTTTCAGCCGGCAGGTGATGTTTCAATTGCACCAAAATTGAGCGTAGTGTTTTTCCCTTCTGAAAAGCAATAAATCTACCGATTATCATCAAGCCTTTTTGAAAACGATGACTACTCAATCGGTTGCAACTATTCTTCATGTGATTGAAGCAATAGTTTTGTTCTGAAACAACCTAAACCCTTGCAAGTTATACTTTCGTCTTACCGAGTTCTGTTGTTAGTTTGGCTGCATGTTATGTAGCTATTACCCAGCTTGTTCCTACTGTTTTTTTGTCGCTTGAAAAGAGTTGAAAATTTTGCCTTTTAAAAAAAACGCACTCCTAATTGAATTATGTTACATTCCAGTACGCAGTCGTTGTCGGAGTGATTGCCCTGGCGCATATCATACTGGTGATTGTGTACTTTAGTAAGAAAGATCTGGTAAGTTTGGAGACTCATGGTAAACGTATCCTTTCGATACCATGTTTTAATCTTATTTTTGGAGCCTGTAGTAATACTGGATACGAGATACATGGGAACCCTCTGCAGATGCAGCATACTTTTCACGGTTTATTTGATTAGTTAATGAAAAACAACTCAAAAGTTGGAGAAACTGTTGTAAAAGGTCCACTTACTGTGAAGGAAGCTTTTTACCATTCCAGGTGGAAAAAAATATATAACATTAATGAGTGTTTAGACACTAGAGTGGATAGGATTCTTTTTGAGACTCCGAATGTCAAATGGCGGTCAATAAAGACCAATGTAAGCAGTGAACCTCGCGTGCCGGGTTAGCATCGAGTGAACACTCCATTCGATACTTTAAATGTTCAGCCATGACTTGGTTTTTCGTTGTAGAAGCACCTTGTATTCTAGCAGACCCTTGTTCAAGAGGCTACACGTAAAGCCATATTAGTGTACTGACACCGTCACTTTCACTAAAGGAGTATATGGTAAATAACGAATTTTTAGGTAGACTGCTAAACCGTGACGCCTTAGCGCTTGTGGTCACCAGCTTACTAGTTTGTGCTTTCATTGTTCAGACTGATTTCATCTAAATCATTCACATTGCCCATCAAACAGAAAGCAAGATAGTAAATAAACCGAAACATTCTTTCTACTAAAATTCGTCTCCCATAAATGGGGCGGAAAGCGGTCCATTTGTGTGGAAATTGTTCTGCTTGTTGTTTTGCCAAGGTACCATTCATTGCGCCTCAAGCGGTCTTGATACCCGAATAAAGTAAGAGCTCCTAAATAAAGTCTTACAAAATGGCGGTAAACAGCAAAAGAATCTTAGAGATGACTAGTTCTGTTAGGCGTTATGAATTTACAAGAGTTCGTTGATCAATTTCCGGGCAGCTATACATGTTTTTTTTCCTGCACTGAGTTTCATGCGAAATCACCCCAAAATGACTGCCATTATTCTTAAAGATGAATACTCTGGTGCACCTAATTAGTTAGAACATTTCTGTAGATAGATTTATCGAAGAAAGATTCATTTTGTTGTTTTTATAAGTATTAAGAGTAAGCAGTACAGTTCAGCATCCAAACCGCAGTCTAGTAAAGCATCTAGATTTGTTGTATAGCTGATAATACTGTTGTATAAAGAAGTAAGGATCTTCTGCTATCAAAACTAGCTAGAGCTGAAAATGTTTAGATGAGGCACAAATTTGCTTGGATAATGCATGTGGAGCTCCAACAGGGATGGATCCAGAAACTTTGAATTAGATCCTTGAGCAAGGGACCTAATATTTGCATTGCGAGCGGAAAGGCGTTGAGAATTGATCAAGTGCACTCCTTGCAGGCGTTCTGAACAAACTGTCTCCTGAATACTGGATGCCCGCTTGGTTCTGAATGTTGCCCATCCGCAGACATTGTTCGTTTGCTTTTACAGTGAACTCCATTTCGCCGACCGTTAGCCAGATGCCTGAAGCAGACTCACTGTTACCACAATGTTGGGAGTAATTAGACATGCAGTTTAGCTGAATCCCTTCAGGAGTACCCTGGTTTGCAGGAATTCCCTCTAATGATTTTTTGTCTTCTGCCTGCCACTATTCACACGCTTCCCGGGTTATTGCGTGTACAAAATTTTCTCTCATTTTGTTCTTTGGTCTTCAGACAAGTTTCCTCAGTGTGATAGAGAGACTGTGTATTGATGAGATTCCTTTGGACTGCCAGGGCTTTGCGGCGAATTCAGCTATTCTTCGGTGAACTCAGCTCCTTTCGTAGATGTTGGGGAGTCCTTTTCTTTAAGTTTCGCACGATTAGTCACACGGAGTGCCACCAATATTATACTGAGCATACAGAATAATACTCTGTTTCATCAGGTCATAGAAACACGAAATGAGTACCATTGCTGAGGCAAACGGAAATCCGTAACGCAGTGGGGATCCAAGAGTTCAAGTCTGAAATTAATTATAACCTAACGGAAGCAGGTTAGACGGTTGTAGAAAAGATGCAGTGGTTTACAGTTACTAGCGAATCCAGGGGGCTCAATTCATGGTAGAGGACGCCGCTAATGCTGGGCTGATTTGTATGAGTTCCGGAAAGAAACAGCGGGGCTAAAGCAAACATAAGTTGGCTACCGCATAGATTATGACGAAAAAGCACGTTGGGACGAAATATGGACTTATGAATCCGCTGGCCAAAGTCAACCTTAAGCCGTGTTGTTTTGCAAAACAAAAGCAGGGTTTTAGGGCACAAGCGCACGTTTATTGACAGGTTTACTCTGCCCTTATTTATACACGCTAGGTTCTCGCCATCCATGGGTATGGTGGACGCTTTCCACCAACATTTTGCCTGTTAACCTTACAAGTTTTTAATGTAGTTTCTATGTGGTGCTTGGTTTTTATTATTATCGTGTTAAACTGTACAAAAGGAATGGCTTGTGGGTTTCACAAACTAACGTGTGGCAGTACGAGCGTTGCCGGGTATTCGTTAAAAAGATGCCTACAACATACAACGGATATTAGGCACACTGGAAGAAAGTCAGTTACAGATACACGAGTCATCCGTGAAAGTTAGTGTCCACTTTTAGTCCGTGACCTCAATGAATTATTAAAAATTGATTGCCAGTCATCGTAGATAACTTGTCGGTCCTTCTAAGCAGTTATCAAAATACATATAATTATTTGTCGATTAGTTGTTAGTCCGTTCGTCGAGTTTGGCAGTGCAGTGCACTGACGATGTCAGTTCGATTAGTGATGAAATTTTTGCAATCTAAGTGACGCGCTCGGCGGACAGGCAAATGACCAATCAGTATACACAGGCTACTCAAATTCCACAACACTGTCGAATATCTGTCGAGTTTTTATGCCCTAGTAGCAGATCAACTTATCAGAGAAACGGTGATGAACCCAAGATTTATTGGAATTGTTGGAAAATCAGTTGGCACACTTTTGGAAGAGCCGGCGGTGATATGATTGTAATGTGCGAGTGATTTAGTGATATCAGCTGTCTTTCCCCTGTCGAGTGCGGACAACCAGAACATACATCAACCTGCTCACATCACGTGAGAAGGAAATTGCGGGTCTGATCGCGATTCCCTCACTTTACACTAGCAACCAACTCTACGCAAATAGAAAAATAATTCGGGCAGATCGTGAGTTGGCTATGAACGCATGACGGGAAGCTTCTATGAGAAAAACGGAAAAAAGTTTAAAGGCTAAAACTAGCGTTTCTGGTAGTAATTTTATTGCAATATATAAAACTGGTAGAATACGATATTGCTCAATCATTTCTCAGTAATACAAGCCAATATACGACTGCGACGCATCACTATCCAACATAGATGTTGTTGATGTTGATGATAAAAATTATTCATAAAGAATTACCACTGAACTAGTGAAAACTGGGTGGTGTAAACCTCAAATTTCAAGTCAATCCCTCATAGTTAGCTTTCAGCAGAACTTTTTGAAACATTTTACCACATTTCAGGACTTGTAGTGGAATTTATACACGTCTTGCGTCATCGTATGACAACATTTTTCAACTGATATACCTCAAAAATGCAGTCAAGATAACTGCTTGATTCTAGTGACACTTTAGAATACATTAAGTAATGTAAATATAAAAATAAATTGTGTCTAATTTGAACCGCCTAGCACCAACAGAAGTACAAATTTAAGCTACTATTTAACAAAGAAACGAAACGAATGGGCCGGAATTTCGCCCACATTAGCTGCACTCTGTTCTCAAGGGATGTTTTATTTCAAATCTGAAAACATCAGCGAAATTCTACAGTCTCACAGTACCTCCCTCAAAGAATTTCAGGCCCTAACTTATAGGAGAAACTTCCGCAGTCAGGATAGTGTTTTCTATAAGGCGAACCTGAGGATGCCAATTGATTCTACGTTATTGGGACTCGCGTTTTCCAAATTAAGTAGGTTTAAATAAACTTGTCTACTCAGTAAGGCTTTCTTTAATACTGTTTTGTTGGATTTCTGAATGCCACTTCAGGTTGAGATTTATGATAAATCTTGTAGGCAAGTATTCAACAAGGGTGTCAAATTTAAAGCTTGTATAAGTGAATTCTTGTTTTTTTTCTGAAAAATTTGCCAGTTTTTGACTGCCGTCTACGATTCAATGGACGATATGACCAAGAACTATAAATCGATTGAGAGCGGTGAAGTGGAGAGCGTCACCTTCGGTTTGCTCATGTCCATGGTAAGCTCAGTAGAGGCGTGTGCACCGTCTGTTGATTACTCACCGAAATAAAACTGTTTTCGACGTTAAATGAATATAAAAATTAAGTTAGCCGCGCGACTAAATTTGTTTCAAATTGGCTGTACAGGCCTGCTTTTTGACTAATGTTTGGTATGCATTTGTGTGGACTATCCACACAAAATTTTCATAGTCCGTGTGGATATTTCCTCCACGAAAGCGTACACATCGATATCCCTCCCGCCATGATCTAACCTCGATATTTGTTCATCGTTTGACCTCAAATGAAGTCTGGGTTTTATAGCCCAGTTACAAGGCACCATCGGAGGCTAATTAGGGGGTGAATGTATTTTTAATTAGTTAAAAGCCAAGTAACGTTGAACTGTTTTCCATTTTCCAGCTTGAATGTTGTGGCTTTAACGATGCGAATGACTTCACCGCTGCTGGATCTCAGTTTACTCGAGAAGATTCATACAATGGCGTGCAATTTGCAAGTGAGTTATTGTTTTCAAAAACGTTTCAAATTCAAAACGTTTCTAGACAGTTTGTTTTGGCGTGGACGGTACATTTTTAAGGCTTAAAATTGAATATTTTTGAAAAGCGTACTGTTTCTGCCAGGCATCAAAAATTACTGAAAATCCGGCAGATCTTGTTAATTTCAGCTTTTGAAGAGAAATTTAGTAGAAAAATAACAAATAAAACAGGTTAAAGTTGACAACATCTGAACGTTATTTTCTTCAATATAGAAGTCCATAACTTGCTATTCGTTAAAAGTGAAATCTCCTTCCATATTCCTCTTGATAGCATGTTGGATGTTTTAACTGTAAATGTGTTTATCAAATATTCTGGAAACATTGATCATGAAACTTGACTTAAGCTCTTTCTGAACATTCGACACACACATTAAAGCAAAATTGTTTTTAAAGTAACTGAGTTTCCAGCGACGTTTGTTTGGTCGGACAGAAATTTCAAAAACGCTGACCGAATAGTTAAGAACTAGGACTCCGACTAGGCAAACAAAACTGTGCCTGAGGCCTTCAGGGTAAGTCAAGGAGAAATCAGGATAAAGGGTTGCTCACTTGTACAGATCCTTAGCATCATTTATCCCATATCCGTGACCACTAGCACCAGCTACAGTTCTGTCCGTACGTGTTGTACTACTCGGGGTGCATTCAGATTAACACTCAAAGTTGGTTCCGATGAGACGTGCTCCTGCAGACAACTCGTACATCCTTACGTCATTCTCTGTTGCTGACCGTCGGGCGAAGCGTACAGCCGCCTCAAGGTGACGACATTCAATCTCAGGTACAGGATGGCCATCATCTTCCATGACAATTGGCCACGCTTGACCATCACGTGCGGCGTGGATTTTGCTTTTGTTGACCCATAACTCACTTGCTTACACACCCGTTGGCATATTTACGTAGGCTGGGCGCCTGAGAAGCCTACATTTACTGACCTTGGTCAGAGGAACAATTTCCACGTCCCTAACAATCGGCGAGTTTTCCGCGGCACAAAGGAATGCATTTTCCGTAAACATGTAAGCATCGTGGATGTGTGTTCGTAGAATGCCGTAAAATGCTTTTCCCCCTTGATCCTTTCATATTCTGATGACTGATTATGCATATTTGATAATTAAATAACGGGGTCTGTTGAACAAAGGAGAGACGGATATATCTGACTCCAGTGATATCGGAGACGTTTAAGTATTCAATCAGAAATGCTATAAATCCCAACACGGATTCAGTGTACACTTAAACGACTTTGATGTTTCCAGTTTGCCTGCTTCAACGACGGCAGCGTTTTCAGAGTACCGGTAAAGGCGTTTAAATAAATCGTTCTGGTACTGCCCACTTGAACGGTTGAATTTTCAAATATCGCAACGATGAGGAATTAAGAGTTTGTGTTCATTTTGTGAAATTGTATTCTATGAGTTGATTAAAATGGAACTGGATATGAAATAACATGTGGTCACAGGCAATGAGAATTTAGAACTACTCCGTCTTTAAAATGATATTGACTTAAACAATATCTTAGAGGAGTATGGGAAGCAACAAAATATTGTCTCACTTTTGACAACAGTGCGTTTTTTCCTCATACTTTTTTGCATAAATATCCGACAGGGACCAGTAAACTTTTGAAAAGTTAAATACTGTTGCAAGACACCTGCAAGACAACGTTTCAGAATCACAGTTTGTCCACAAGTTATTGCTATTTCCAAACTCATGTTTGTCCATAAATGGGTATAAAGGATTGTAATGTGAGTTTCTCACAACCTGTCTAATTCGCCATAGAACCGTCAATACCCCGACCCACTGGACTGAGCAGATGAAATTCGTGGCACATGATCTTCGAAAACCAAATTTCTATTCAGGCCCGGGAAAAACGAGAACTCAAGAAGCAAATAAAAAGTCAGCCCTTCTTATGAAGTAAAATTTAAAACCTAGAAAAAACGTGGGATCTAGTAGACGAATGAATGGCGGAGCATGGTTGCATCTGAGAGAATAGAACTTTCACATGATGTTTCTAGATGTCGGAGTGAGCACACATGACAGGGAAAACTATGAAACCTTATTTCTATATTTTGGTCCCTATGTAGCAAGTTCGTTGTTCCATTAAAATAACCGTTGCATATTACAGGATATCTTTAATTGGTCTCATTTGACTTCACCATTACCTGGAACAGAAAACATGCCATCTGTTAGTGGTCGAAATGTCTGTTTATTCACACGTGCTTTTCACTGGCCAAGTTATAAAAAAGCGATGCAAGTGAGAATCCTCTTAGGGACTGAAACGCGGTTTCTAGCATAGATCTAGCATGCCGAATGACCACTGAAAAGTCCTTCCAGATAGCTTTTGTTAATTTGTGGAGTATACGTAACAAGAAATTCCAACAGATGTTCTACTCACAACGTCGTGGTGGTAAGATTTGGTCGGTAGATACGGCTGAGTGGATAGGTATATAAAATTATTTTACTATCTCTCAAATAATAGATATGTCCGTGGGAATTCATTGCCAAACTGAACAGGCGGTTTCCGAAAGCGCTGAACCTGAAACCATCTGTTACACTGCCTCTAGTCATATGCGGTACCTCACTGATTACTTCGTCTCGTCTTCACTTTAGAGAGGGACAACACTAGAAAACACACTAATCGGACTTGGTTTCAAACTGTGGGCGGCAGATAGGCGAATCATGTTGTTTAACCTCACTCCAGCAGCGCGAACTGAGTACGCCTCGGTTATCAGATCTGTGCAGGCAAACTTATCCACATTTGAGCAACGTTCGAATGATATACTGGTAGCCGTCCTGGCACTGTCCGTCGACTAAGTAAAAAGCACCAGGAACACGTGAAATCTGTTGGAATAAACCAGATGGAATAATTTTAAAGATGCCGAAAGAGAATTCCTCAAAATGTTGTTATGTGATTGTTGATTTTTAGGCACAAATACAATCACCTGTCCACACAAGCCTCTCTTGTAATATACGAAATGAAGAGATCTAGACCTCTATAAATTTGGAGACAATGTCCTACGACTCGCTTTTGTTTTTTGGAACTACCATGACTCATTATTTTTCCCTCGAGAAAAAAAACTAGGTGGCGGTCAATGCTCTGAAGAGCCAATATTATACCTAACTTGGCATTAGACTTGGGTTAACTGATGGGGAATTTCACAATGATCTTCGTTGTTTGTGAGTTTACAAATTATTACTGTTCGAACCCGTAGTTCTACCACCATGTTGCCCAGCAAACGCCCTTTAGTGCTGAAACATTCTGGTTGTTTTATTGAACAATGTGAACAGAATATGATCGATAATGCGCATAGGTTGAACCCAATACTTGGAAATGATTGGAAAGGTCTGATTTGCATTATTTTCGCTACTAAAGGCCAAACGAAATTCTCTAAAAAGCTAGTTTTGATTTAACTAAGTGAAATACGAGTGTAGTCTGCTATCTTACATAGTGAAAGAAAAGAAAAAAACCTCATTGAAGTTGTGCACTCTGATAAGATATCCAATCAGGAAGCATTCGCTTTGTTTGCAACGAGGTGTGCTTTGATATTCAGTCCCCAGGACGAAGAAAAATTTAAGACTTAGACACCTACCTCTCCCATATTGAGTTTGATGATTCCGCATTGATGAAGTTACCATCTCTGACTGCGGTACTCAAAGCAGAGTTTACTCCTTGCAATGACGTGAGTTTGGGTAAACAGTTGGTTGAATAATACCAGCCTGCATAATCATGTCCAAAGCGGCTCAAATTGGAAAGTCTGCTACTTATGGTATTCAAATGACTAACATTTGTATCATTACACGAATTTGAATAGCGACTATGCATGGCATCGGTGCGAAGGCATGTGTGATTGCGAACAGTCGGGGGTTCTGATGGCCCACATTTTGACCGCAATCCAGCAACAATGAGATTAGGCTTGGCGTGTTTCGCCAGCTCAGGCACTGGTGGTTACGTTGGTTAGTTGAAGCCGGCTAAAGCGAAAAACCTCAAATTTCCTCGAAAGTTTACGAACGATAGAATTTTTGTAGAGTTGGTGGAAAAGCTGATTCTGCTTATGCACAGAATAGGACTGAGTAGGCGAAGCATGATTGGCCAAGACCAGGAACGATCCGTATCACTTCAGAGTGTTAATGAATGGCAAGGTCTGGCACACTGAATGTCAGTGTGCCAATCCTCTGTCTGGTCATCTCACTGTTTGATGATGGTTGATTCGCGGAATTCCTCAATCTGACGGAATACTGTGCAGGTTCATCCAAATTATGAGCTACTTAATCAATAGAAGTAGTCACAACAATATGTTATATTGCTCGGACGTCGTCTCCATCAGCAGACGTCGATTCTGCAATAGTTGAAAGTAAAAATAGCGTAACCAGTTCCGTGAACTAGTACTGTGATGATCAAAACTGTCTTTACCAGTCAACGGTTAGATTTCACGATGAACAAATTACGATGCCACGAGATTAAAGGAACAACAATTTGCCTAGGTTGGTATATAACCTGACAATATTAACCGTGAAAAGGAGATGGATATCCATTCAAAATCTTTGGTTTCATGAAAGAAGCTTTGTATTCAAGAGTGAAAGCAAGATACATGTGCCACGGGTTATTTTTAACTCATCATCTGCTGATCGGAACGCAATGAGGTGCGAGGTCAAGCAAGAGATTTATCTAACAACACAGTTTTATTAAAGCGTTTCTACGATTTATCTAGTATAGTGTAACTTGAAGAAATATGAGATAAAACCTTTGTCTTAAAAAGAAAGGGTATCCGGGAATTCCATATCCAAACGGTTTGCGTCCTATGGTGAGGGGACAGAATTTTGCTGAATCCGGGAATTTCTGTACATTTTGAAGAGAACTTATAGCACTAAATGGTTTAAAAACGCAGCTTGCATTCAGTAGTATCGTACGTACGATTTAGTTGCTGCAACACTGTCAGAACACCAAATTTCGCTCCGCTCCTAATCAGTCCCTCTCATCGGAAGACAAAGATTTGGTATGCGGTAAATTCAGTTACTTCATTTAGTCAAGAATGCCAAAAAGATGGTCAACTCAGACGGCTCAGCATAACCCCAGATGACAAATTTAGGGACTATGCGAAAAACTATTTCAAAGGATGAATGTCTGTATGACAAACGCGCTGCTGTTTATGCAACGGACGAGAGATGCAAGCATTGTGGGTTTGTACCCAATCTACCTAATAATTTTGTGTTCCCTTGTTCACTAGACTGAATGCAACAAAGCATTTATTTTAATTGACATTTTACTGGTAGTTTTTACTCTGTTCTCTTACGGTCTACGCGAATAAAAGCCGTGTGATCTGACAGTTTGATGAAATCAAATATATGTAGATATTCAGGCGAGTCTTTTACAAACGGGAGATAGTACTGGAACCAAGTTTTGCTCTTATTAGAACTCATAAGCAGTACCTTGCCAATGGCCGTGGTGATGTTGAAACTCCGGACATCTGGCTGAGAATTACTGACGTTAATCGATGGTCACAAACAGGGCAGTTACCGGGTGGTCGTTTCGATGAAGTGTCGGGCAGACCAATCACATCGCTCTAGCGCGAACTCATTCGCCCGTTCAGACGTGAAAAATCAGATGCGTCCGACCTGCACTGGTGAAGTAGTATGACACGCTTGCCTCGAGTGTCAGGTGTCCGGAAATCAAAACCACGGCCATTGGATGTGCACTACTGGTGAGCTATAATAATAAGAGCGAAAATCAAGTCCAAAGCTTCCTTCAATTTGTTTGGACCTACTAGTATGATTACGCCGGTGGAGGACGATCCTTCCATAGATAAAAGAAATAAAAATTAAATAAACAAATAAATAAATAAATAAATAAACAAAATAAAACTGTCAAAAGCAATTGTTTGGACCTACTAGTATGATTACGCCGGTGGAGGACGATCCTTCCATAGATAAAAGAAATAAAAATTAAATAAACAAATAAATAAATAAATAAATAAATAAACAAAATAAAACTGTTCAAAAGCAATACAATGCGTTTCATTTGTCGTCTATAGCTTTTCTAGAAACTTATCATTTTCCCGGATAGTTTACATTGCAGACAACGCACGCTATTTACAAGACTTCCTCACAGTGACTCAGTATTGTACTCATATTTTCTTCAATTACAGACATCCAGTATCCCGTACCTTGTTGCAAAACAGGCTCTGTTGGACAGAATGGAGATGATTGCCCACAAACGTTCACTGTCGCCAACAGTAACATCCGAACTGGTTGTAAACAAAAGATTTATGAGCGTGCAGTACCACTACTCGATTCCGTAATGTTGGGATCTCTGGTTGTCCTGGGTGTCGAGGTAAGTTTCTGAAATGGCGGGATCAATATACACACGCATCATCCTTTCGTTTTCACTTCCGCGGCCTTAGAAAGGTTATTATGCTTTATAAGCTAAGGTATCTTCACGTAAGGGATCCCAGTTACTCGGTAGAAGCATTCAGGGGGCTGATACTCTGTAGTAAAGAAAATATGATCCTTGAAGTATTGCGAACTGAGGATTTTCCTCGCTATTCTTCTCGAAAAAATAGACAAAGTTGACGAGAACTGGTGAGCTTTTTCGTTTTCACTCGGTAAGATTGCCTACTGAATATAGCCACCAATGCCATGTGCCTATCGTAAAAATCGAGTTCTACACTTATTAGAGAGCTGTGTGACTATAAAAATTGCTTCAACCCAGAAAGGGCACCATAAAGACGGAACAAAACGCTTCATCTACAATATTAGTCCATTGACATTGACACTTGCCAGGCACATACCTTTCAGACACGACCTGTTTTGGTCTGTAAGTCGGAGTGGCTTTTACAGCAACGTTGACATATCGTGCTAGGTTCGAAACGACAGACTATTATGGAACTGGATGGCACAACGAATGGCTATGTTTTGCTAATGGAATTTCTCACCAGACTATGACCTACTGATGGTCGACAATGACTGCAAGCGCACTACTCAACATGACAAAAATATTCCTACAATCAGAGTCTTGTGCCACTGCTGTGTATAGCTGCATGAGGTGTCAGACTAATGTGCCCTATTCCCTTTGTCCTTGTGGTGGCTACCTGCAGCCGAGTAGTTTTGGGCTAGGTCATCCAAAAACTCCAACAACCGTCGCCGCGCGGTCCAAACACTTGAGTCAGGGACAAAGGTCACGGAAAGACCCTTCATCATCCCATCTGTTGGTATGGAGTAACTGAACCAAAATCTTTCTTCAATCTGCGCAATTAGGAGGTAACATTCGTTCCTACATCTCATCCCACACCTCCCTTACACACGTTCTTCTGATTTGCATGGTTGTCAACTACCTAGCCGTTGTTACATATCAAAGCTTCAGTCAGGTGGAAAAAACAAAAGCAAACCCCTAATAAATTCAAAAGATTTATTCCAACTTGCGGCCTCCAACAATCTTACCGTGTGTCAAACAGTTAAAAGGTAGATTTTACTCTTGTTCTCACTTACAATAATCAAAGCGGGCTCTCACAACGTTCATACAAGAACTCAGCACTGTCCTATTTCTAAAATAGTTCCGTAAGGACTCGACTTATCCTACTTTGGTCTTCCGATGAGGGGTAATCTTGATGGGTTACAATAGCCTGAATAGGTAAAATGGTGGATTTGCCTTCCGGTGATACTTTTATGCATGGAAAAAATCGTACTAAAAAATCTATTAACTTTGTTCAAATCACACAACACACACCTATGTAAACTTTGTCTTTTCTATAGAGGAAAATGTCGGTAGCTCAGGTAGCGTAGACGGTCGGTGGCTTGTTCGATGAGCTGGGCAATTTGATAGCAATCGAGGTGACCTCATCAGTGGGTTATTGGGGCGCGTAGTAGTGCGTGGCGTGGGGTCAGTGGTGGTGCGATGAGTAGTGTTAAGCGCGTGTTATTGTACGTACTGGTGGCGGCGGATGCCCGTTGATTGCGATCAGCTGTTCGGTCGGGCGGTTCCACTGGTTGCTCAGTTGTCCTGTGGCACCATTCACCGATGCCCACGTGACCTCTGAGCTCGGCAAACCCTGCCGTCGTAATCTGGTCGATGCTGGAGTGACCTTTGTGATTTGCCTTCAAGGAGTTCCTTATTTCTTTGTTTGTGAATCCAATATTCGGTCCTCCCTGAGTGTTCCAGTTGAGATGTTGGTGTTTCGCACGTAGGGGTGCGTAAATTGGATCCAGTTCGATGCACCGGTTGATCGAATCTGCCGTGGAGTACCAGGCTTCCAGAAATACTCTTTCATGTCTCGTATCTCTGAGTGCAAATATTCTTGCGTTTTGTAGATTGGATTTGTGGCCTTCTTGGTCCTCGTGTATGGATATCAAGGACAGGGGTCATGTCTCCTGACGGACGAGTTGCGTTCCTTTATTCGTTTGCATAGTATCCCCGCAGTTTGTCCGACAGAATTTGTTGCAGTTGCTGCAGTTGAGTTAGTATATCACGCTGTTCCTCTTGCTTATTGAGATTAATTTCCTTGGGGTGGCTTCCTTAGAGTGTGCTTCAGAGAAAATTCATAGAAATGTTTGGTGGTGCATGTGATGTCAGTTTATTCATACAAATTTTCAGGATTCGTGGAATGAATTTATCATTTCCCGACCTAGTTCGATGCTACATTGTAGTGGGACTCTAGACAGAAAGAGTTTGAAAAGTAACATAATATTTGCACTCTAGAAAAATCTGGATCCGCATATTTGGTCCCGAGTTTTGTGTGATACAATAGACACTATTTAGTGCTTTTGAAAGTAGTTTGCTCATAAGGTTTATTATCACGAACTGCAAAAAAGATCTGAGGGTCTGACGATGCTCTCCTGTCAAACGCGAAAAGCTGCCCAGGAATGAATCCCTATATTGCTTATCAAACCTCTCCGAAATGATATCTGGTCGACCTTTGCAACTACAATAAATCTTGTAAAGTGGCCCTTCAAGTGCCACAGCACGTAGTTATCTCACACTAGGGCCTGGAACTCTAAGTTGAAATGAAAAGAGCTCACACGATCCCGTATTTTTGTAACTCTGACACGCTATTAGCAACAAAGCTTGCTACAACCAGCCCCCGAAAGAAAGAATCCTTTATTGCCTACCTACATTCATCATTTTTATTGAAGATTCAATTCAGATTATGTTGCTAGAAGTAGGTTGTCAGTGTTTGTCAGTGTTGATGAAGGAACGATTATTTCCCCACACTTTCAACAGCTATTCGCGCTCGCCATGGCAATAATCTACCTCTGTTGTGAAGACAAGTGATTAGCTGTATCGACGCTAGAAGTAGGTTGTCAGTGTTTGTCAGTGTTGATGAAGGAACGATTATTTCCCCACACTTTCAACAGCTATTCGCGCTCGCCATGGCAATAATCTACCTCTGTTGTGAAGACAAGTGATTAGTCTGTATCGACTGCAACATTGCTCGCTGAGTGATATTTAACACAGTCTTTCCTGTTCAAGAAATTGTCCACTTGTTGAAGTGAAGTAACATCTCCCAGTGTTTTTAGACCACACGCCAAAATGTTTGTGGCCCACTTCTATTCATGTTTGCCTACACTGTTTATTGGAGTCCATTTTCATACATGCATATCGTCAAACCTAGCTTTGTCTTTTGGTCACCACACGTTTGGGGGGCTAAGTGCTTAAAAGTACGTATCAGTAATAAGAAAAATAAAAAAGGCGTTTTCTTTTTTGTGTCACAATCCCGTCACAAAGCTATAACCTCCAGTGAAAACCAAACCGATTTGCAGAACAGTGTATTTTCAAAACCAATCCATGTTTGTTCAAGTGAAACAAAAAGTTATCGGGAACTCGAGGACTGCGCCTAACTGATGAGCCCCAAGAACGGCAAAACCGGTCGTGAGCTGTCGACGAGATTTAAGTAACCGCGACAGTAGTTTTGTATAAGACTAACATTTTGTTTGACAAATAGCCTGAACCCTAACTCGCACAAAGGTGCATCGGCATTTAGTTATCCAAAGTCAGCAGAGGTTTCTTTTGGCTTTCCTTTTGGATACTCTGAAGAAACGGTGGCAGTATCTCTTCTAGTTTAGTATCGCCAAGGTTAGGAATGAAAAAGGTCGCTGCTGAATTTGGTAATATGATTTAGGAAACAGCAACAGTGCTTTGAACTGCATATTGAAGCCCATTGTTTCAACAGTGCACCTGACGTTCCCCGGAAGGTTGCGTAGTGAAATGAGCCTGATGGGTGTTTCTTTTACTCAATTTTTGACCATGTCCATAAATCATCGCTCACTTCCTGTCCCAAATTTACACTGAATTGTTTCAACTTCCAACACGGTGGCAAATCGAAGACCGCAGTTTGCCGAAAATCAACTGCAATCCACAAGTGCGTCACTACTGTGCGACCTCTAAAGTAGTTCAACGGTTTTATGAATGGCGCAAGATTAACTTGAAAAGACAAAGAGAAAGCATCGAGCAGGAAGCTAGAAACATGATTAGCTGACACAGAAGGTGAGATCAAAAGCCCCGTCCTTATTGAATCCGTGAAAAAAATGACCACTTTCTAATCAGAACCAGTGTATCCTACCGGTAGGTTGCTTTCCTCCTGTCAATGATCGCTGTTATATTACAACTGCGCCACACGTTTACTGAAGCATTTTTGAACACCTATAAAGAAGAATCGATTGCCCCCTCACAGCACTATTGCACATTATAATCAAACTGTGTGCATGGGACAATTTGCGGTTCGTGCACGGAAAGACGAGAGAAGAACAAGGATAGGGAGATTTGTAAGTTTGACCAATTACCTTCAATGACTCAAGGCCCCAGAAAGATCACAGAAACGAAGAAACCATCCAACAATTGCTGTAGTATAGTTGACTTGTCAGATAGACCACTGAGTGAAGACGAACGCTGTCTGTTAGGAATGGGATTAAACTTTCCTGTGTGGGTAATAAGACCGGGGGAAATTATTTCTAGTTTAGAGTCAGTGTTTCAAAAGCTTCCTTCAGCGCAAGCTGAGAAGCTGCGGGTCACAATTGGTCACAGTCCTGAAATACCAAAAACCGGGAGCTCCAAATATCGCACCATCAGAGCACTGTGCGTTGATCACACTGAGACAGGTAAATAGTATTGGCATTACCAAGGCCGATAAAGATAAACCCACAGTAGTAATGAACAAGAGCAACAATCCTCAAAACGTCAGGCACCACCTCGCCGATGGACCCTATTGACAAATTAACGGTAGCAGTATTACTTCAACAATGAATAAAAGTAGGGTTCACGTTGGTAGATATTTAACATCCATAGTAAGCCATTTAAGGCAAGGTAAGTTGTATCGTTTTAACCAAAAATGACGACTCAAT